GAGGGAGCCTTCAAACGCAYGTCCATCTGATTACTGGGCTGCAAAACCCCAGTCCCAGCTGTGTGACACTAGCTGATGTTAACACCTCAGCCTTGCATTGAAATCATTCTAAGTAGCTTTAACTTTCAATAAAACATTATGTAGTACTTACTTTGCAGGAATATTAATATTTAATTATTAACTCCTTAGGAAAGAGATTTTTTTTTTTTGGGCAACACTATACCACAGGGCCCCAAGCCCAGACACCTGGACATTATTGCCGTAAGAAAAAAAAAAAAATCAGATGTTATTGCACAACCTACACATCCATTTCTGTTCAGGTGAACACCTCCATGAGGCTACTGGGCAGAGGAGCAAAAGGATGCTCCATTCAGGGATCCAGAGAATGAGCATCCCACAACAGTCCGGGGTGCACACACCGTGCTTTGGCTGAGCACAGCCTGCCAGGAACCTCTGTGCTCCCWCAGACCTGACTCTGGTTTGGAGTGAGGAATGCCCTTGAGGAGAGGGCTGGCATGGTGATGGCACAGCGAGGAGATGGTGCAGTGATGAAGAAGATGCTGCAGAACAGGTGGAACAGAACAGAACAGCATTGCCTGCAGAACAGGTCCTTCACCCAGCTCTCCAGAGGAGGAGGAAGCCAGCAGTAATTGAGGGAGTGGAAGGGTAGAGATTAATTGGGAGAATTAAGAGTGTCTGGGAATGTTGCAGGCTTTTAAAAAGACTAGGTTAATGAAAGGATCAATCAACTGACAGGTAACAAGGTGTCAATTAGTGGTGTTTTGCAAGGCTCTGCGAGCGGATTTCATTCCCCACAAAGCACTTCACAAGCACCAGGTAGACCTGGCAGACCCTTGTGAAGTTGGGGGTTTTGGTCAAGATCTCAGGACATCACAGTTTGGGGGTTACAAAGCATCATGGCCCTACATCAGGAGCAAAATTCCATCTGGAGCCCGCTCTTTCACTGCATCCAGTAAGGAAGGGAGAGGGAGTACTGCTTTTTCTCTTAATTATTTCAAACACATGGGAAAAATGCAGAAATGAGCACCAACATACTGAAGTCTACCTCTCCCCTCATTTCCCCTCAATCTGTTTAGCTGGAGCATCTTTCCCTCCACTGCTCAGCAGTTTCCACCCAGTGTGCCAGAGCTGAGGCTGCCCTGTGGTGCAGCAAGTCTAGCAGGGGAAGGAAAAAGTGAAGATATCTTTAAATATAACAAGACATATGCAAGCTGTCATGACACATCACACACTCTTCTGCACCGCTCAGGCTGGAAAATTAGGTYAAGTATGGCTGGGTAACACAGGGTGAAAAAGGAGCAAAAGCTTTACTCGGGAATTTGAAGGTGTCTCCTGAGCTCTCCTGCCCTTCTCTGCCCACCCTGCAGGGCTGGCAGCAGCCCTGTAGAATTTGCCCCACTGTGCCTCAGCTTGTGAGCTGCTGTGCTATTTTCTATGCTGTAAAAAACAAATGACTATTAGCTAAGCAAAATAACAAATATTTTTAATAATTAGGTCAACTCACTTGCCAGTAATCAGGCTGCAGAGCTGCCTGAACTTCAGCTCAACCCTGGTGCCTTCATCCTTCAGCTCATGACGTGACTGTGGCATTACCTCAGACCTAAATTGGACTKAAAAAGTCCTGGAGCCTCGGCATGACCAATGCTTCCCACAGAATTCCCTCTGCTTTCCAGTAGCTGGTAAAAAGCACTGGGCTCTCCCAAGCCTTTGCACTATTTTACATGAGTGTGTTTAAAAAAAACAGAAGATGTGTGAAAGKTTCATAACAAGTCCTAGACATGTTTATTAAACCATTCTTGGCAATTCTTTGGCTAATGTAGGATACCTGGCTACTCCTATAGCATCCTCAGGTGCCAGGGCAAGCATCCTAGAGCAAAGGGACAGTGCAGATCCCAACACGAGCTCACTGGAGGGAGCAGTTGTGAGAGTCATTAGATAAATTTTAACATGCTTCAAATTTAATATTTAATGTTGTATTATAGGTAAAAACCACACTTACAGACTGGTTTTTTACTGGCAAATATCCTCTAAGAACACAAGCAAACCTTGATTTTACAAATGTCTTATGGGAACATGCAAAACTTTCATAGGAGAGGAAGCCAGGAAAGGGATTGGGGTTTAAATAGTTTAGGAAAACACTTGGAGATAAAAGCTTTTTTTATATATGTAGAAGTCATAAACTGAATGTTTTTCTGTTAATAAAGSACTTGTTTTTTAACCTTAAAAATTATTTTCCAAGTTACTGGCACTGACAGTCCTTGGTAGGTTGCTGTATATTTTACTTCTGTGAAATGACTCAACCACACACAGCACCACTGCAGCAGAACAAGAACAACGATGCTCATCAAGCTTTTTTTATATACTGATTAATATTAAAAGGAAAACCTCAAACTTACCAGCACAGCCCAGAAAAAAGCASCCATGTCACTGTGGTGCCTCCTTCCCATCCTAAATATGACTAAGTGGGGGAACGCCTGGTTGAGCACGTCCCGGCGCGTACRTAGCTTGAACAAGCTTTTAATTTTTCCAGTGTTGCAACATTTCCCAAATCCAGGATGTCATTTAAAAATGCCAGCTCCCCTATCCAAGATGCTACAGCACAAATCCATTTTTACAACGCTGTGATAGAGTCTGATCTCCACAGAGGCAAACCTGCCCTGCCCCTGCTTAAAACCAAGATGTTCYGTTAGAAATAAGGAGATTTAACAAAATACAAATTACATTATTTTTTTGCCTTTGGGGGCTTTGTGCTTTCTGATTTTTAAATTTAACTTCCATGCCTCTTCTCACTTTTCTGTATATTCTGGCACACGCCTGGTGCAAACAGGCTCAGTTGGAGCTGAGAAATSGTCAGTTTTGATTTTGTGCTGAAACTGTGCTCTAGTGACATTTGTGGTGGCCTTGGAGGAAATCCCCGTATATGAATGGGGCAATCCCTACAAAAAGGATTTACTTAAGAGCATCAGCACCCCACACAGTGCTACAAGAGCCTGTCTCACCCAAAACTCCACCACAGCAGCTCTGTGCTGGTCAGAGACACCAAGACATGTTTGCATTTAACCAGGAACGCCCAGGTTTCTGTGGGTTTATTGTAACCTGACTGCCCTCYACGGATAAAAACAAGCCCTGTAACATCCTTGAGAGACGGTGATTTTCCTCTCAGGCATTTGCATGTGCAAGGTGCCGCTCCCACGTGTCTCTGCTGTGATCTTGCAGATRTATCTACCAAAACAGGGGTTGCTCAACCAGCTCTTCTGCTGCCCCTGAGCC